AAGAGGAGGAGAGGAGGAGAAAAAGAGGGGAAGGAAAAGAAAAAGAACACGCACTAATATATAAAATAATATAAAATAAAAAATAGTTAACAAATGTGCTGGTTTGAAAGAAAATGCCCCCCAAAAGGACTGGTGGTATTAGTAGGTGTGGCCTTATTGGACGTGTGTGGTCTTGTGGGAGGAAGTGTGTCACTGTGAGAGTGGGCTTTGACATTTTTTTTTCTCAAGCTTCACTCAATGTGACAGTCAGGTGACTTCCTGTTGCCTGCAAGATGTAGCCAACATCATGACTTCCCACACACTGGACCTCTGAAACTGTAAGCTATCACCTCAATTGAATGTTTTCTTTATAAAAGTTGCTGTGACAATGGTGTCTTTTCACATCAATAAAAACCCAGACTGAGATAGAAGTTGTAGCCAGGGACTGGGGTATTGCCATGATAAGCCTGACCATGTTTTTGTTTAGAGTAATAGGGACTTTGGTACTTTGGGTTACTAAAGCAGTGGGATGCTTTAAGTGCTGCTTAATGGGCCATATTAGTAGGAGCATGGAAGACAATGATACTGATAATGATTTGAAATGTTGGGAGCTGGCTAAAGAGATTTCAGAGAAGAACTTTAGTATGTTGCCTAGAAATCATTCTTGTGATATTTTGGTGAAGAAACTGGCTGCCGTTTACCCTTGTCCAAAGAGTCTGTCTGATTCTAAAGACTTTAGATTAATTCCATTGGCATAAGAAATCTCAAAAAAGTCTAGTATAGACTCTGTCATGTAGATATTGATGGTATCTCTAATGAAGATTTAATGAAAAGGAACAAGGTGAGCAGGGTAAATTACAAAATGTAAATTTTGAGGAGAAAAAGAGCACCAGGAATTGGAATGGACTAAATCTATGTTCAAGGAGATAAACAGTTTGAGAAATAGAATTTATGGAGTGGTGATTTCAGGGCAAGATCCCACCCAACTAAGTTTCCAACTTGTGAAAATAACTAAAAAAAGCTTAGAGTTGGGTTTGGAGGGGCACACCTTTAATTTGCCCACTGGAAAGGCAGAGGCTGGCAGATCTCTGAGTTTGAGGCCAGTCTGGTCAACAGTTCCAGTTTCAGGACAGCCAAGCTTAGGCAGTGAAGATCAGAAAGCTGGTGAAGTTACAGCTGAATGAGGGAGCCATGGTCTAGCCTCAATAAGCAGCAGAACTTGGTAGCTTTGACCACATGGTTCTGGATTTAGAATCAAAAATAGAAAAAAGGAATTATGGAATAAAGCTGCTGAGGCCAGGCATGTGTCAGGGGTGCCCCTTGAATGGAAGCCTAGGAGAGTAGAGAGGCTATTGCATGAAGCTTTGAAGCTGAAGCCTGGATTGCCTTGGAGAACCCAATATGTTAGAGATGCCAGAGTCATGAGATGTCTGCCAAGGAGAGCTGCAAACAGTGAGTGAAACTATCACAAGAGAAAGAAGTATGTTTCATTCAACAAAACTGAATGAAGTTGGAGACCTGAAGAGCATTTTGACATCAAACATGAAGATGCAGAGTTTGGAGTTCGCCCAGCTGATTTTTAGTATTGCATTGGTGAAATATTTCTGCACTGTGCTTCCTTTCCTGTGGTTTGGAATGGTAATGTATATCCTGTGCCACTATATGTTGGAAGTATGTGATCTACGTTTTATGTTTGTTTGTTTGTTTTTTCACAAGAGGAATTACAGTTAAGAGGTTGCCATATTTTTGGCATCTCAAAAGAGACTTTGGAGTTTGAACTTTGAAGGTAGTGGAGACTGTTACAGACTATGGGGACTTTTGAAGTTGGGATGAATGCATATTTTCATCATGGTATGGCTACAAGCCTTTGGGGGCCAGGGAGTGAAATGTGGAAGTTTGAAATTTAATAGCCCCCAAAGGGAGTAGCACTATTAGGAGGTGTAGCCTTGTTGGAGTAGGTTTGGTCTTGTTGAAGGAAGTGTGTCACTGTGGAAGTGGGCATTGAGGTCTCTTTTCTCAGGCTTCACTCAATGTGACAGTCAGTCGACTTCCTGTTGCTTGCAAGATGTATCCAGCACCACATCTTCCTGCATGCCATCATCTCCCTGTCATGACGATAATGGACTGAACCTCTGAAACTGTAAGCCATCATCTCATTGAAAAATTAAATGTTTCCTTTGTAAGAGTTGTCATTGCCTCTTCACAGCAGTAAAAACCCAATTTAAGACAATATCTTAAAATATACATTATATTTCCTGCTGTTTCTCACACCTCAAATATTTTTTAGCAAGCTAACTTATCTGTGTTAAAAATTCACTTTCCATAGCTGTCTGGTGTAATTTTAAATGACCATTGGTAAACAACTGATTTTGTGTGGGAGAAGAGTGTTTTCCTGGGGAATCTTTTTTCTGAAGCTTTTTAGAACACCTGCTAACAGAGACTGAAGGGGATGGGCAGGGAGAAAAACAAGAACTGTTGAAACATTGCCTTAACTATTTGGAAGGGAGACTTTAAACTCCTGGGACCAGTTTACTTCCAATATTTAGCTGTAGGGATGATGTCAAATCATTTTTCTTTTGGTTTTTGCATTCCCATCCATCAAACTTACAGTTTATAAATATTTGTAGAGAATTAAGAACACTTCTCCACTCATTATTATTTTTAAATTCATTTGGAAAGCATGAGCAAAGGTCACAGATGAATATGTACACAAACATGTTGTCAACCTTTTGCTATAAGAGTCTTAATGGTTCTACACATAAGAATTCTGGATAATTGTCTCTTACCCAGAGGTAGAGTGCTCAAAAAGTCATCTAGGTGTACCTGATATCCAGGCCATGCCTCCCCGAGGAGAGATTGGCAGTTGATGGGTGCTGGAGGGAGGAAAATCTGTTTTTGAGGCAGTTCCACTGGCTGGTTCCCCTTTTCCATTGATGACTCTGAACTCTCATATACCGGTAGCAATAACTGGACATGGTGGATTCTAAAAAAAATGTGAAGTTGGGTGGGTGTGCATATTACAGGTATGCAAGGAGAGTTAGAGATGGGGTGTGGGGGACAGGTATGATGGTATTTAATGGTATACATGTATGAAATTCTTTTTCCCCATTTTTGAAAATAAATTCTTTTCTCATACAATATACCCTAATTATAGTTTCCCCTCCCTCTCTTCCTCCTCCTTCCAGATCCTCCCTACCTCCCTCCCACCCTGATCCACTCCCTTTCTGTCTCTTGTTACAAAGTAATATGGTTCTAAGAGATAACAACAAAACACAACAAAATAAAACATGATAAATGGAACACATCACATGGGAATTGATTGAACAAGGCAACACAACAGAAGGAAAAGAAGACTAGAGACACCCTATGATCAGAGATGCTCTTGATCACACAATCTGGACTCCCATAAAAAAATACTAGACTGAAAGCTACAGTACATACGCAGAGGACCAGCTGCAGACCTGTGCAGGTCCTGCTCTTGCTGCTTCAGTCTCTGTGAGTTCACATGAGCTCTGCTCAGTCAATTTAGAGGGCCCTGTTCTCCTGGTGTTCTCCATCTCCCCTGGCTCTTATACTCTTTTGACCTCTTCTTCCAAGGGGTTCTTTGAGCTTAAAAATAACAAAAAATACAAACAAGTAAATATTTGAAAATATGCCATCCACATTGAGTTGTATGACACAGACCAAAGGTCAGGTTTTAGTTCATATGGAGCAAAATCTGAAATTTAAACTTTAATTTAAATTAAATTAAAAAAGGTATAGTAAATATTTTCTCATTAAAAGTTAAAAATTAAACAGTAGGGCTTGGGAGAAGATGTAGTAGGTGAATTGCTTGTGTGTAAGGCTGAGGACCTGAGTTCAGGCACCCAGCACCTTTGTTAAGAATTTTGGCACACACTTGTAATCCCTGCCCTGACAGATGGTGTAGCTTGAGTTTTCCTGCCTGGCCCACAGTCAGGACAAATCTCTCTCACCCTCCAGTTCCACAGCCACTCAGACCCAACCAAGTAAACACAGAGACTTATATTGCTTACAAACTGTATGGCCGTGGCAAGCTTCTTGCTAACTGTTCTTATATCTTAAATTAATCCATTTCCATTAATCTATACCTTGCCACGTGGCTTGTGGCTTACCGGCATCTTCACATGCTTCTTGTCATGGTGGCGGCTGGCAGTGACTCCTTCTGCTTTCTTGTTCTTTCTTTTCTCCTCTCTGTTACTCCCACCTATACTTCCTGCCTAGCCACGGGCCCATCAGTGTTTTATTTATTGACCAATCAGAGTAATTTGACATACAGACCATCCCACAGCAAGATGGCATCAGGAAGATTGGCCTGGGGACTACCTAGCCAGTCTGTCTAGTCAACTGATGAGTTGTAGTTTCAATGAGAGACTCTGTTTCAATTAGCTGAGGTGACAACAATAAAGAAATCAAATGTCACCTTGTGTTTCCATAAACCATACATGTCCATGTCTATACATATGTGCACAATAACACACACATACACACGCAAACAATCACACATACTATTTTTCAAAGTAGTATCTATAAATAAACTGGAGGAAGACTAGGTCTATTCTGAAATCATACAATCAATTTCTAAATATCACCTGTGAAAATTATCAGTGTGTATTGCTGTTGCCAGGCTTTCATCCTGTTTATATATATGTAAAGTATTTGATTGAATGGTAATCTAATTTACATTTCCCTGAAAAGTTATTTGAATCACTAACATAAATCACTGTAGGTTAACAATTATTTTTACATATGGGCTGTGTTAAAAAGAATATCTTAACCAACACATCAGTTTTGCTAAACAGCTTACATTATAGGGACATGTAGTTCCATTACAACCTTTATGACTCCTTTGTGTGTGTGTGTGTGTGTGTGTGTGTGTGTGTGTGTGTGTATGTGCATGTGTGCATCCACAATCTTGTTTGTTTATATGGCGAGGGTTCATGGGAAATGCAGAGATTAATTTCAAGTGCTTCTGTCAATTGTATCAACATGATTTATTTTAGGTCAGGGTCTCTTACTGAACCTGAACCCACTACTCTGGTTATACATGTTGACGAGGAAATCCCAGGGACCCAGCTGTCTCTGGTTCTCCAATGGAAGTATTACAGATATAACCACCTGACCCTGAAATTTAGGTGAGTGTGCTAGAGATCAGACTCAGTTCCTCATGCTTTTGTAGCAAACACTTTACTGAATGAGAATTTCTGCAGCCAGAGTGTTTCTAAATCTTAATTATATTAATGTCTTTAAATTATCTTATTAAAATATGAATAGGGAATAAGAAGACATTAGAAAAGAAAAGTAACAACAACAGGAAAGAGAGAATTGTAAATTATGCCATATTCTGAGTTAAAATTGAATGGTGAATTCTGAGTAGTCACCTTCTATAAAAAGTAAATGGAGTATGTAAATACCCTGAATGAATCTTGGTTATCTGCTCACTATTGTATAAATGTTATTGAAAAACAGTGCTCATCAACTATGAAACTTCATTGTTCTTTTTTTACATCTTTTCTCAGTACTCTTCTTCAAGTCATTCATTAGAAATTTATTGTAATCTTATATCAGAACATTTTGATTTTATGAATAAGGTAAAATTAAAGTAATCACTTCCACCAAAGAAAATAAATAAAATAAAAGTCATCATTCCCACCAAAGAAATATATAAATGGGCCCATTTTTAAATCCTATAAAATAAAAAAAACTACACAATCATTTAGCTTATTATTATGATGGTTCAGTTTTCTTCACTCTTATTTTCATTGTATTTCTGCTTAATATACGCCCAATTGAAATATAACAGTTCCAAAAAATTATTAATTGTACACTATAGTTTGAAACAATTACATCTTTCAGTTATTTATCATTGAATATTTTTCTACTGTTTTCTCAATTATAGAGCTCTTTATGTCAGAGAAGAAAGAAAACCTGGTTCTCTGTGAGACAATAAAAAGTTTTGATCATTTGCTTGTATAGTTAATGTGTGTCCAGTACATCTCTCTATTGTAACATAGCCCATTTCCTGGTGCAAAATATGACCTGAACTATGTTCTTACAAACTCTATACACACATTCATCCACATAAACATTTATCACAATGAAACTGATAGAATGATATACATATGACAAATATGTGGTAGATGATCCTTAAAGGACCTTAATATCCTCTGTCATCTATAAACACACACACACACACACACACACACACACACACACACACACACACACACACAAGCACAATGGGGAAGTTCATGTTCATGCCAAGCAAGTGTGGTCAGTGAACTTCTTGAGGGACTCCATTCTCTCTGTTTGAGTCCCTTGGCTAAAATTATTTAATCTGAAGTCTTGATTGTAAACACCTTTATACCCAGAGCCATGTTTTTCATTCAATGTATTTCTTAAAAACGTCCAGTTATAAACTCTGTAACCTCTAGCTCCCTTATCAATAAACAGAGGTAACAACTTATTGTGTCTTTAAAGGAATTAAGAGTTTCAGAGTAAATCTCAGCACTTCACTGAAATGCACTGGGCATCTTACAAAGTGGATTTTATATAAAACAGTTATGACTTAGATTTTTGGTTAAGGTATAAAAGCAGCTAATTCTCCACTTACTTATATTATTAATAAATAATCAACAGGCAGAAATACAGGGGTGGACTAATAAGGGCGCATCTTAGACACTCACATCACCCTTAGGCACAGGCGATTTTAAATGTTCATGTATCCTATAGAAATTGCATACAAGCTGAAAATTATGCTCATCTATATAATTGTGCTTCTCCTTTTTGGAGCAAACATCATTGCCCTTGTTCTAACACAGCTTGTGTACATGCTACAGACACAAAGCCTTTTACAGCACCCATATTAGGTCAATACCATGCAAGAAACATAAATTACAATCCTGAAAAAAGAAAGCAGATTTGTTGGGGACCTAAATACTTGCTATCAAAGGATGTATTGATTCGATGATTAAATATAAAATGTGGTAGATTAATCTCTCAAGGTTATAAGAATATCTATTTATAGAATCTTTATTGTACTTTTTATAACTCAAAAATTTTAATGGCAGAATACCCTTTTGAATTCCAGGTTTTAGACTTATGCTGTCACATTGTGAACCTTTCAATTTTCATAGACTCAGATATGTATATATATACACCGTAAAATGTCTCTTAAACTTTTGGTCAGTTACTTATTCACTATTTTAGATTATAAAACTGTTCATTCTTCACATTTATAATGGATTTGAAATAAATTTCACTAGTGTATTATCTGATTTTCTGATCCACACAGTTAACTATTATGGAAAATCAATATTGACTAACCGACACTGGTGAGTTTACACAAAAATGAAAATCCTTTGCGTATTTCAGGGTTTGAAAAAGATACAATTATTTAATTTACAATACAAAAAGAAACTTTTAAAATCAGAATTAAAGGCATTACTGATTTAGGCCAGTGATTATACTTGTAACATGATCAAAGTGTATGAATAGAACAAATACAGGATATTACAACCACTTAAATAATCACCAAGGGCAAAGATTTTCCTCCAGAACAATGTGAACAGGAAAGACCTTATGAAATACTGACTCAGCATCCTTCCCAAGGAAATCTACAGAACCTGCTTATTATGATAAGACACTGATGGCTGTGACATGAAGATTAACATGAACATTAAATTAAATACAAATCTACATGCAGAATTAAAGTGAAGAAGAAAGTCTAGTACATACCTCATTAGGTACATTCAGCTGTCTCAAATATGGAAGTGATCATGAGCTTAAAATGGCAATGAATGATAAATTACAGAAATGTCAATAAAGTTCAGAGACAATACAGAAAATACAATCATTTTGCTCAAGATCTTACATGAATTATTTATAAACAAATATACCACTTTCAAACTAGAGACAAAAGTCAAGACCTACATGTCAGTAGGTAATATTATGAAATAAAGCCAAAGATTAAGTTGAATGAAAGTGATAGAACAAATGTAGATGTAGAACAAAAGCATGAAGCCTCAGAAACAGTAATAAAATGACTACAGGAAGAACACATGCCTATGAGATCCACTTATATCTACATAGCTGCATAATATTTTGAAATATAGAAAAAGAACTAGTGATTTAGCCCAGTTGGTAGAGTGCTTGCTTGTATGCACAAGAGCTGTGGGTTCATTCTCTAACACTGCACAAACCTGGCCTAACAGAGAATTCTCAACAGAAGAATCTCAAATGGCTCAAAGGCATTGAAGGCAATTGCTCTATATCCTTAATCATCAGGAAAATGCAAATCAAAACTACTCTGAGATATCATCTTACACCTGTCAGAATGGCTAAGATAAAAAAACACTGAAGACAGCTTATGTTGGAAATGATGTGGAGCAAGGGGAACACTCCTCCACTGTTGGTGGGAATGTAAACTTGTACAGTCATTTTGGAAATCAGTATGGCAGTTTTCCAGAAAATTGACATATCATATTAGAACCAGATGTTGGTACACAATAGTAATATCCCAGTGCTTTGTGTGTGTGTGATTTTGTCAATGTGTTGTATATTCACATTTATTTATGCTTTACATGCAGATAATTGAATGATATATATTTATTCTGCTTGAGTTACAGATGTCTATGAACTGTCATGCATGTGTTGGGAATTGAACCCAGGTTATCGGGAATAACAAACAATGCCATTGATTATGAGTCATATCTCTAGCCTTGTGTATACATGAAAAACAATCTCATCTATCACAAATGACCTCTTTCTACCTAGTTTCAATGACATTGAATTTCTGATCCTTTGTCTACTCCTTCAAGGTGCTAGGAATGCAAACTGCCACTACCACATTTGGTTTTATGTGGCAATGAGTATTAAACCAGGATCTTCAAGTATTCTAGACAAAAAGATTAGGCTTGCAATCTATAACTGAAGTTCATCCTGAGCCTCAAGAGAACTTTTAAAATATTAGGAATAAAAATGCTAATATTCTTCTGAACATGAAACATAACAGACATGTGCTTTGCATATACATAAATAGTATATGTGTGGATTGTATGTACATCAACCTTTTATTAACACACAGATAAATACAAATTTCCAAAATCACAGAATATATTTACAAAACTTACCATATGCTCTAGCATGAAGGTAATATCAATGCCAGAGAAGAAAGTCATTTTAGTCTTTTAATTTCTTCTACACCTTATAAAAGTAAAAATTTTCATGAAATACTTTTAATTTAAAAACTTTTTCTATATGTTTCAGAATCTGCCACAGTGTTCAAAAACCTGTGCTCTAATTCAACAAAACTGACTACTAAAATTAGCCTCTTCCTAATTCAAAATATGTCTGTATTTTTTAGTTGTCACAATGTGAAATGTAGATTTTTAAATAAGTGAATTTTAGAAAGACATATTGTTTAAAATTAGTGAACTATATTGTCCATTATAAGTTAACTGAATTAAGTAGAGCAAACTGAGAACACAGTAGAGAAATATATACACAATGTTATACACAAAATTAATTAAAAAGTAAGTTACAAAATTTTTATTACATTAGTATGAGCTATGTTAAAATGTTAACATAATATTTCTTCTATATTATTACTGTATAAATGTCTTCCCTCCCTGTATGTTTGTGGGTTAATGTGCATGCCTGCTGCCTTCAGAAGCCAGGAGAGGGCACTGGATTCTTTGAACTGGGAATTACGGCTGAGTTACCATGTGAGGGCTGGGAACTGACCAGGTGCAGTCTTCTTAAGTGGCCTTAAGTTCTGAGCCATCTCTCCAATACATTGAGATGATCTTTTAAAGAGAAACATTATAAACAAGTTGTGCTGTGATTGAAAACTGTAGATTTAGCAGTCACTACGAATTGTCAAATGATATCAATAAATGTGAAATTTTAAAGATGGTTAATTTTTCAAAGCCATAAGATGTGTTACTAAAGGAAAACAGAAAATGTGAAGAGCTGTCTAAATATTACTATGCACTCTGTTGCTTTAGTTTATGCAATCTTACATAAAACAATTCTAGAACCTGATGCTTTTAGTAAATAATTATACTACACATATGCTAATGTATATAGCTCAAATTTTACTCCAACTATTTCATGCCAAATCTTCCCCAAGACA